ATTATGTTCAGATCAGCGCCTCAGCGTTGAAGCGGCGCGCAGGGATTCGTCCCGGACATGCGCGATGCTAGAACTTTGCGCGAGATGTTCGCGTTGTGTTTTCCAGTGGTGTTTCAGTTCGGGCTCCAGGTAAGAACGCATTCTTGAAATGGGCCGCCCATTCATATCGTCCGCCGTCGTCCAAACATCGCGAAGCATCCATAATGCCAGTGGTGCGTCTGGCCGGGGGAGTAAAGCAACTTCGCGGGCATGCCCATGGAAACCAACAGGAGCCTCGCGGTAGGCCCAAACACGCGCCGACGTCATTCTTACGCCGGCCGCGGGCACGGAACAGTTGTAGGATCTCGTTTAGCGAGCGCTCCTTCGTGCACGAGGGCACGGGCGGGTTTGTCCGCGGAGGAATTCTTCACAGCGTGGCGATATAAATCTGAATGGGGGGTCGAACGGTCTTACAGTGTCCTTGGGCTCGTGGCTGAAATTGGGATCCACGGTCGGGATTATGCTTGTTGTTGTTATTGTTGTCGTCGTCCTGACGGTTTGGTCGCGGCGCGGTTGGGTCGCGGCGCGGGCGGGTCGCGGCGCGGTGGATCTCGGGCGGTTTGCGGCGCCGATGGGTCGCGAGTGGGTCGCGGGTGGGGCGCGGGTGGGTCGCGGCGTGGGTTCATGGTTCGGTTCCCTCAGTGACCGCTCTGGGGGCCCTCTCGGGGCTGTTTCGGCCCTCCTAGAGCCGCCCGAGGGCCCTAGGAAGGGCCCGGGGGAGCCCCAAGACGGCTTCAAGAGCTCCCCAAGACAGCTCCAAGAGGGCCCCGAGAAGGCTCCAATATCGGTCACGCAAGAGAGGCAAAAGCAACGCGTGACCGCTCTTGGGGTCCTTTTGGGGCGGTCTGGGGCCCCTCCCGGGGCCGTCTGAGGGCCCTCGGGACGCGGGAAGGGCCCGATGGGGTCCCGAGACAGCTCAGGGCCCGAAAACGTTCCCAAGAGGATCCCCCAGCGCGGTCACGCGAAGCCTCTCTTGCGTGACCGATTTTGAAGCCTTCTCGGGGGCCTTTCCAGGCCTTGTCGGGAGTTTCTCGGAGCCCCCCCGGGGCCATCTTGGACCCCCGGAGGGGCCCAAACGGGCCCAGAAACAAGTGTAAGGGGCCCCCAGGAAGGCCCCCAGAGGCCCCCAAGAGCGCCCCGATACCGGTCGTCAGTAACTGTCCAAACCTATGTAAGCATCTAAGGAAATCTCCAAACGCAGAAGCCTTTACCTACTTTTGAAAATCATGCGTTCGTAAGGCGATTTCTAAAGAAGGCAAGGGGCCGCTCCAGGCCCGCGCGGGGGGGGGGATTCCGGAGGAGTTCGGAGGAGCACGGAGGGGCGTGCCGGGCAGCGGCCCCCATCGGCGGCTGCGGCGCGTTCGGGTCGCAACGCAATCCCCTGCCCGGTCCACGACGTCTCTTTCCCGGCCCCCTAGTTTGACGAGGTTTAGTTCTGCGAGGACGCGATTTGACGAATCTTCGTCTCAAGATTCGCACAGTGCTGCCGTCGCCAAAGTAAGTTCCCCTCCCCGAGGGCACTCTTCAAAATCCCGTCAATTTTTTTGCGAGGATGTCTCGGGAAAGCCGCTCGCGTCAAATTTCGCCACAGTTAGTCAAATGTCGTCATATCCCGTTTCAACCTCGTCAAACTAGGATTCGTCAAATCGCGCCTTCGTCAAATCGCTTCGTCAAATTTCTTGGGAGAGAGAGGCCAACAATGAAGCGAGGGAGATTGCGTTGCAACCCGAACGCGGCGCAGTCGCCGAGGGCAGGTCTCCGGGAGCCTTCAACAATCTGGGGGCATGGTAGGGTAGTCGGCCAATAATCGCGCTCTGGGGTCGTTCGGGCCCTTCTGCAGGTTTTCCGCGGGCGAGCGAGCGAGCTCCCAGAAGGCGCCGCAGACCCCGCCGCCACGGTTGCTGCCCAGCGGCGGGCCGCGGAGACCATCATCGATGCCGCGCGCGAGCGCCGGCGCGACGCCATTGAGGGTTGAGCTGCGAGGGGGCCAAAATATGACGATCAGGCCAAGGTCGGGGGGCGCCAGGGGCCCACTCGCAGCGCCCTCTTTCCCGACGACGATGCTCTGCGGCAGCCCTTGAATTCCTTTCGTTTTCGCGCGTCCCCGCCGCCCCGTTCAGAGAAGATGCCCGGGCGAGTCGCCGCGATCAGGGAAGCGTCGCAGCGCGCGGGGAAACGCTAAAAGGGATGCGGACGGGGGGGATGAAATAATAGCTCCAGCTTTGTCGTCGCCGCCAGCCCCAGGAAAGACCCCCCGCAGGGCCGCGCAAATGGCCCAAGATGGTTGCGGGGGCTCTCTTGGGGCCCTCTTGGGGGCCCCATGCAGGCCCCCCCTGGGCCGCGCGATAGCTTCGGGGCTCAGGCCCCCGCGATTTCATACGATAGCCTGTTCCAATGATATCGTTGGGGCCTGGGCCCCAACGATATCACGCGGCCAGGGTGGCCCCGAGGAATTCCCGGAAATTTCAATGAGGGGCCCGCGAGGGCCCGGAGAGAGCCCAAAGAGAGCGCCCGCTGGGCATTAGCAAGCGTCGCGCCCAATTCCGCCAGACGGAGTTTGGCGCGATGCGTCGCGCGCCCCCTCGGAGCCCCCTTCGGCCGCTCTTGGGGCCCTCTGTCTTGGAGCACCCCCCCCGGGTCTTCCGGAAGCTTCGGGGGGGCCTCGAGGGAGCCCCCCGCCAGCGAAAACAGGCTTCCTCAAACGTTCTACGCCCAGAGGGCTGGGTGCTGGAGAGATTGAAGGGCAGTTGCAAGGTATCGCAGGTCCAGCTGTAGGGCACTGCGACGCGTTGCAGGGTCTCTCGCAGGGCATTGCGCGCCATTGCAAGGTCTTCTTAAGGTTCTCGGCGAGGGTTTTGCAGGGGTCTCTCCATGGTCTTGACATGCTTTTTTGCAGGGTGGTTGCAGGGTTCTTTTCGAGGTCTCTGCACGGGGGCCTTGGCAGGGGTCGCCGTATGGATTGGCGCTCGGGGGCGGGAGGCCTCGCGGGCGACCGTTCGTTCGCGCGGCCGCGCGGCTGCTCCGCGGGAGGCTGATTCGAGCCACGCAAGTTGCGAAGACTCAGTCTTTGTCCGATCCCTGTTCTTGGCTCGACTTGCTCCCCGAGGGCCTCCGACCCCGGGGGCACCTTCTCCTGGGGGCACTTCTAGCAACCCCCGAGAGAGGGCATGGCCGCTGCCACAAGTTGCATCGCCTGCATGGACGCTAGAGGCGGCGGGGGCGGCAACGCGCGGCGCCTCCGCACCCGGGGGCCCGGGCAGCAGGCGCGCCCTTCCAACGCTCGGCGCGGGAAGTCATGATCCGGTCAGTGAGTGGCGAACTCCGACCTCGAAGAGTTCCGCCAAGCAGCCTGCGTCACGTCTCGCCTCACCGACACGGCACGCGAGCGCGCGGACCAGCAGCCGCCCGCTGTCCTGATCCAGGGTGGCCACATCAACGGCAAACCAATGCCGCCCATGACCTTCCAGATGCATAGCCTGGCCGAACGGCGGGGCCAGCAAGGCGAGGAGGAGCGCGCGCAGGCGGCATCGGCCCTGATGAGCAGCTTCAACTGACTACCGCAGGAGCGCATCGACAACCTCCGCACCAGGTTCGACATTCTCCGCAACAGGGCGCAGCAGGCTGGTCAACTGATGATCGGCCACGAGGGCCGCAGCTACCTTGCGCTACGCGCAGTGGGCGCGTCGAACATGCAACTCGCCATGGCCCCGCAGCAGCGCAACATGGCCTACCCGACGAACGCGCACCAGCTTTCGCGTGCGACGGGCCAGCTGCGACGGCTCGGGCGCGTGACCGAGGGCCCAGGCAACCTCGCTCCGGCCCTTCACACGACCCAACGCCAGACGTTCCCCACGGGCACGCCCACGCAAGTCAAGCTCAGAGCGCCTATGGCACTGCGGCCAGATCGAGCTGGGATAGCCAACGCCACGCTGCCCTGGGAGCGGCACCGAGCCCACCTGCAGCCACCGCCGCTACCGGCCCTGGCGCGGCATCCCCAGCACACCCAGCAGCAGGTCTCGCCGACTCCGACCACATCAGCTCATTCGGCGAAGAGATCGCGGCCGACGACCCCGAGCTACGCGACGTTCCAGTGGAACAACGCGGCGCGCACCTTTCTGGGGCCCACAGAGGCGCCAAACCCCGATGGCGCAGCATCAACAATCGCAAGCCCACGCACCGCGCACGGAGGGCCATCAAACGCAAGGGCAGAGGCCACGGCAAGGGCGACCGGGCCATCTTGGCCGACATGTCCGAGGTTGACCCCCGGGAAGCTTTCGCGGAATCCCACCAGCCCTTTGGGCGTCGGTGGTTTAGAGAGTTTCCTCTTCCACCCCTCCTTCTTCCCCTTCGGGGAGGGGTTTACCCCTCCCCCTACCCCCTCCCCATGGACCTGGACAGGGTTTTCCGCGAGGTGTCGGAGCGTCCAAGATGGCCCAAGACGGCTCCAAGAGGGCCTCAGAGAGCCCAAGATAGCGTCGAAGATGGCTCAAGATAGCGCGAGATGCCTCGATACAGCTCCGAAGATGCTCCAAGACGCTCCAAGACCGCTCCAAGACGGGTTTAAGTGGCCGAAAGAGCTCCCCAGTGATGCCCCGACGAAGCCAAAATGCTTCAAAACCATTGGGGAAATCAGTGTTGTTGGCGTTCTCGCGCTTGCGCTTACGATGCCAATCCGAGGCTTCAACATCGCTCCCAGATTGCCCAACAGGGCCCCAAGAAGGGACCAGCCGAGCCCCAAGACGGCCCCAAGAGCGTTCAAGAGCGCTCCAAGAACGCTCCAAGATGGGTCCATGAGGCGATTCTGGGTGCTCCTGAGAGGGGGCGTAATTAAGGAACCCCCATTCGCTGACCGATCTCCTCCAAGATGGCCCCAAGAGGCGCCCAGGAGGCCCCAAGAGGTCCCAAGATGGCCCCAAGATGGCCCCAAGAGGCCCCTAAGAGGCCCCCAAGAGGCCCTCCGTAGCCATTTTGGCTCAAGCCGTGAGCTTGCAAGCTTTCCGCGATGGCTCGCGGTTTTGCAATCGTGGCTTCTCTGCTGCTTCGCCGATCTGCTTCGTTTGATGACGACGAGGCGTACATCGCGTCTGCCTTTCAAGGTGACGCAAATTTTCTCTGGGGTTCTGCCACCGCTGCCGCCCAGATTGAAGGAGCCTGGAATATCAGTGGCAAGCAAGCATCGACTTGGGATGACTTCTGTCACAGCATTCCGCATCGTGACACCACTGACCCCGACACTTTCAGCAAGACGTGCGGTAGAATTCCTGAAGGTCAGAGTGGGTCTAGGTGGGTGACGTTAGATGTCACGGATGATTTCTTTCACACGTACAACGCTGATATTGACTTGCTCTCTGTTGAATATGGCATGAACGCGATGCGTATGTCTATGTCCTGGCCTCGCCTGATGCCTTTAAACAAGTCTTCGGGGAAGCATGAAGTGAATCCAGAGGGCGTCCAGTTTTACAAAGACGTTTTCGCGATGATGAAAAAGCGTGGCGTTACACCTTTCGTCACTCTCCACCATTGGGATGTTCCAAATGACCTTTCCTGGCTGGAAGATGACATTGTGAATCATTTTTTGGATTTTGCAAAATTGTGCTTCAATGAGTTCCCTGAGATCACCAATTGGGCAACCGTCAACGAGCCCAACTCAATCTGCTCCGGAGGCTATGGGGCAGGCGTTTTCGCACCTGGCCACAAGAGCACCACTGATCATCTAGTGTGTGGGCACCATATCCTACAGGCACATGCGCGATCAGTCGATTACTTCAGGAAATCTGGCAAGAAGGGCCACATTGGAATTGTTCTCGATTACAAGTGGGCATATCCAAATACAGACAGTGAAGCAGACAATAGGGCAGCCGCATACGACCGAGACAATCTAGTTGGTTTCTGGGCTGAGCCTATCTTCAAAACCGGTGATTACCCACAGAGCCTGAAGGACTTTTTCGGTGCAAAGATGCCTGTCCTCACAGACGAAGAAAAATATATGCTGAAGGGTTCTGCCGACTTCTGGGGCCTCAACACGTACGGTGGCCATGTTGCCGTATGGAACGACAAGAAGATTGAAGACTACGAGCCAGGTGATAATGTCGTCGGACGTTACTCATTCAGCCCTTGCTCTGCTGGGGCAGACCAGACGCACGTCGACGATCATGAATTCGAGTGTGGTGCAGCTTCAGGCTGGCTCTGGGCAAAGCCGGACTCCATGCGGAAGTATTTGAATTGGGTGAAAGACTATTACGGTGTCGAAAACATTATCGTGACTGAGTTTGGAGTCGACGTTGCTAACGAAAGTGACATGTCCATGGATGAGGCACTTGTCGACACCTACCGCCAGGAGTATTACAAGCGGTATCTGAAGCAAATTGCTGTGGCAAAGAAGGAAGACGGTGTTGCCATCAGAGGAGTTTTCGCATGGTCGCTCATGGACAATTTTGAGTGGGCAGACGGCCTGAATTTCCGTTTTGGTATCACGTACGTCGATTTCAACGATTTGTCTCGCCATCCAAAGATGTCCGCGAAGTGGTGGACCAAGATGATAGCCCGTATGAAGTCTGAACCACCACCGCGACTCTTCTACTACTGAGACGGTCTCTCGCCGTGGCCTTCCAGATTCAGTCCTTGACCGAAGCGTCCCCGGCCCGAGTTGGCAAGAAAAAAAAAAAGGCCCCCAGGAGGCCCCCAAGAGGACCCTAAGCGGCCCCAAGAAGCCCCCCCCCGAGGCACCCAAGACCCCGGAGAGCCCCCCAGGATCGCCAAGAGACCCCCAAGACGTCCCAAGAGGCCACCAAGAATCGCCCAAGAGATACCCCAAGAGGCTCCCAGAGGCATCCAAGAGACCTCTGGCCCTTGTGCTTGCCCTTCTCCTGTTCCTCCTTCCTGCTCCTACTCCTTCTCTTCCTCCTCCTCCTCCTCCGCCTCCTCCTCATCCTATTCATCCTCCTTCTTCCCACTCCCTCATCCATCCATCCATCCATCCACCTCCTCCTTATCCTCCTCACTCCGTTGCACGGTTCGGCCGTCCTCCTCTTTGTTGCCGCACTTCCCTGACCACCTCAACTCGCCTGGACATCGTTTCTGGATGGGCTGGTGGGGATACGCGAAGCGTCTAGAATTCGGAAAAGTTCGGGGTGGGTGGGCTGGGAAGCCCACGACCAGCGACAATTGTCCAGGCCGCCAAGACAGCCCACTGGCCCCTGACGGGGCGCGTCTCAAATGCCACGAATGCGACCTCCGAGGAGCACCTCGTGCGAGACGGCCCCCGGCGCCGCCAGCAAGGGCGCGCACTCCTCTTCGATTCCCAAGCCACAGCGTCACCAGCACTACGAAATCCTCACCACCACACCTGGGACAGCAGGGAACGCTTGGACCAGCCGCTCAGCAGCCCGCACTGGGCGCATACACGGTCTGGATGACCAGGGACACCACTGGAATTCCCCAAGCCACGGTTGGGAGCCCGAGCGATGGTGGCCCTGCGCAGAGCGCCGACCTTGGGAACGGCGGACGACGAATTCCAGCGGCGACGGCACCGCGGCCAGCCACAGCAGCAGCGCCAAATGCGTCATCCCATGGCTCGCGGCAAGCAGTGGGCCACAGCCGTTGGTCGAGCTGGGTGGGGACCTCATTTGTTCGTCTTGTCCCAGCCCGCACGAGGCCGTGCTACGACGACTGCGTCAAGAAATTGCCGAGCTCATGAGCCGCGCACAACAAGACTCCGCTCAACCTGCGGGCCCGGCAACTACGTTGCACGCCCGTGCGGCAGGAGCGGGAGACGCAGCACCAGTCGCGCCGACAGCACCCATAGCTCCAACAGCATCAGCAGCAGCACCACCACCGACACCACCACGCTGGACCGGAGTGGCCGGCGCCTTCCCATTTGGACGAGCTCAGGGCGAGACTGGATGAGCGACCTCAACGCACAATTCGACACTATTGCTACCCCACCTGCCGACGCGCGGTTGCCGAGCTGGGTTTACACGCCATCAGTCTCAGCGCTCGTCATCAGCACGCCACGTGGATCAGGCTGCATTTGGCCGCCACAGTCCGCCCCGACAGCAGCGTCGCCGCCAGTGCCGGAGGCTCCCAACGATCTGGCTGCACTCAATCAGAGCGCCCCCATCGACGTAAGCCAGCCAGTTGGGGAGTAGCCACGCGATTCGTCAGCCGCGAGACCTGGATGAACAATGGAGGGCACCACTCTCGACCGCGCGAAACGACGGCACCTCGACGAGATCTACAGCACACAGTTAGCACTAGAGCTCCTACGGCAGCAGGACGAGCAGCGACGCCAGACCGCACGCAAAGTCGGACAGAAACCTTTACACATCCGCCTCCTGCGCCGGCCGCTGCACCTGCTGCACCCCCCCTCGTTGCTGTATTCGACGGCGACGACAGGGAATGTCCCATCTGTCTCGAGGCCTTCGCACGTGGCCATGGAGCGGTACGCCTACAAGGCCGCCACATCTTGCACCAGGCATGCCACTTGCGGCTCACGAGGAACACCGACGCCCACATGGTGCACTGCCTGGGGTGCCGAGGCCCAGTCGACAACATCGCCGACTGCCGCTTCATTGGTGCAGGTCGTGCTCCAGCGGGTCCGATGGCCATGCGTCGGCCCGCGCGGCAGACCCTGGCCCTACGGGTCCAGCACGCATGGCGACGGCCCGCCCAGCACCAGACGACGACGTGCAGGAGGATACACTACCACTGCAGATACCACCCAGTCTCTTCGGCCAGTTCCAGCACACCGGACACAGCGGCAGGACCTGACGCAGTCACCAGGCAGCGCTTCCAGTTTCATGTCCGCCGCTGATGTAGCGGCACCCTACGACGCCCACTTGCACCTGCGTTCTCGTGGCGGCCTACCTCGGCAGATACAGGCGCAAGTTCTCTAACTGACTCGCCTGACCATCTTGCGAGCACCGACTTCCCGGGCGGCCAGTTAGGCGTCAGCGTCGACACGGGCGCTTGGACCGACCGTTGGGGACTGCGTTCTGCCGCGACCCTGGCCGACAAGGCCCAGGAGGCGAAGCTCGTGCCCGCGGAGGAGAAGCTGTCGACTCCATTCCAGGCGGCAGGGGTCGGCAGCGGGCCACAAGTTGGCGCACTGGGAGGCACGCTGTCCCATAGCCGTGACCACCCGCGACGGCGCCGCCACGCAGCACGGCATGCGCGCTCCGGCCGCGGAGGGCGCAGGCTTCCATCCCCTTGCCCTTCCCGGCGCGCCATCCCTGCAGTCCAGCAAGGTCGGGAGCCTCGAGGTGGGGGTCAATCAGACGGGGGTCAGCCAGGGCACCAGATCCTGCAGGATCCTGCGAAGATCCCCTCTGGCTGACCCGGGTCAGCGAGCCGCTCGTGGCCGCGAGGCGGCCGCGCATATTGGTTGACCCGGGTTTGCGAAGACCTGCGTTGCAGTTTTTTTCCTGCATTGCAGTTTTTGGTTTCCTGCTGACCCGAGTCTGGATTGACCCGGGTCTGAAGATCCCCGACAAGGGGTTGGTGGAGACAGGCGCAGCCCACAAGCGCCTGACGTTTCCCGGCCTGGCGGCTACGAGATCACGTCTACCTGGAATCGGCGCCGAGTGGATATCCACGCACTCCAATCAACAGTTTTGACCGACTCCAGCCGCCCTCTAGGGGACTACCGCCACACAGCTCACACTGCTGGCAGTGGGCAACAACCACCAGGACGACGACGCCAGCAGCAGCCGCGAGTCCATGAAGCTCAAGATCCAGCTTCTTTTTCCCAACGCACAAGCATCAGCGCAGGGCACGCCACAGTCCTCAGGCTACGACCTACACGCCAGCGCGGACGTCAGCATCCCGACCAATGGTCGGGAATTGTTTTTTGGCAAGCGTGGCCGTTCTCGCACACACTGGGCACGCACCCACTGTTGGCCTCGCATTCAGGACTCGCCCTCAGAGGTCTCGACGTTGCGGGCGGAGTGGTGGACATCGATTACCGCAGCGAGATCAATGTGACGATGGCCAATGCATGGCGGCCCCACGTGGTCGAGCAAGGCCAGCGAATCTTCCAGCTCATTGTTGGAGCGCATCCTCGATGATGCGGAGATCGTGGTCGTTCCAAACCTTCATCCGACCTTTCGCGGATTTTAAGGCTGACATACCGGCATGACGTACCTCAGCTACGATCCAATCCAGAGAGGGAAACAGTTCAGCATCCTCAGGGCCTCTCGACAACTAGTTGCCTAAGACCCCAAGGAGCTCTCCCACTAGGAGGAAGTCGGGTCAGCCCGAAAGGCTGGCCCAGTCTACAAGTGGCGGCTGCCCCAGCGTGCACCACGACCCCAGGTGCCGCCAAGACCGCCCCAAAAAAACCCACGAAGCCCCCAAGAGAGCCCCGAAGACGGCCCAAGAGGGCCCCAAGAGGCACCCAGGGGAGCCCAAAGGAGGCCCCCAAACACCCCCAGGAGAGCCCGCGGACGCCCGCAGCTCCCGGAGACGGCACAGAACAGCCCCAGGGCGGCCTCAGGGGCCTTCTTACAGCTTTCAAAAATACCCCAAGAGGCCTCCCCAAGAGAGCCCCAGCGGGGCCCCAAGACACCCCCAAAACGGCCTGAGAACCCTCCAAAACGGCTTCGGGTCTTATGTCCCAGCGTGGCCCCAACAATCTCCCAGGTGCCCCAGAGGCGCCCCTCAGAGGACAGAACACGCCCATCATGTGGACGACGACCCCGACATCGTCAACCATTCCTCAACCAGTGTATGGGTTCCTGCACGAACAGCTTCACTGACACAACGCATCCAACGTACCGTTCGCTTCCTCCGACCAACTTGCACGCCTGCGCCCCTTCATCGTCACGCGTCCACCCCCGCAACCATGTGCAGGACCCATTCCATCACAACGCTTGTGCACCTGTGCCGTTGCACCAGCGCCTGCTCCAGCCACGGCGTTGCAAGACTCCGTTCGATCGGCCACGTCGGCCACGACGCCCGATCCCACGCATCTGCGCGCCTGCACCCCTGCCTGCGCCCGCCCCTTCGCCCACGTGCGCGACCCATTCAATCACCACGCACGTGCTATCCTTCGGGCGGTCTTCGATGTCTGCTGGATGTTCAGAGGCCCGCGGCCCGCGGGGGCCATTCCACGAGCCGCGCCACGCCGCGGCCGTCCTGGACGCGATCGGATCGTCGCGAGCGGCCGCCTGCTGCCCGAACTGCTGTTCGACAAGCAACCCGACGGGAGAGGAGGAGGGAATGTGGAGGGAGGGCGGGTGTGCATCTCCCCCGCGGGGTCGATAGCTGCATCGGCAGTCGTCTGACGCCCTTGGCCACGCACGGATCGGCACATTCCTCATGCCAACGCCTAGCCATTCAGGTAACCAAGTGCTTCTGCCATCTCCGCACTTGGCTCACCGCCCTCAACATGCCTCAATCATTGCATGAGCAAGGGCTCCCTCGAGGGCGCGAAGTTATTCGCGCTTCGCGCTTCGCGGTACTCGTTCCTTCTCCCCCTCCTCCTCGTCCTCCTTTTCTCCCTTTGGGGGGGCGGCGCGAGGGCGCGAAGTTATTCGCGCTTCGCGGAGCGCGAAGCGCGAAGCTGGGAGCCCTTTGCATGAGCGCTTGCACGAACCGCTTCTCCGAAGCACTCCGCGCAGTGCACCGGGACGCCTGCTCTGACACGCCATGTGTGAGT